CATGATTTCGCAGCCAGCGACAGGTTACTTCACTACTGGGTGGAGCCTCAGTGACCCTACATATGCCTTTGAGTGTTCCCAAGAAACCAAAATATTTGCCCGAGTAGGGATTGGACACTAACCAATTTCACCGCCGAGTCCTTACGTAATTCGTATGCCCAGACGCATCCATAGAAATACAAATCTATTTTTGAAAATTCAGGAGTTATAATGAAAATCGCCAAATAATACAGCAGATTGTTCTTAGTTCACGTAAAATGTTTAGAGTCTTTTTCTTTTTTAGAAAATCTTGTATAGTCTACGTATTTTTGGAAACTTTGTGTGATATTTAATATTAAATTTACGCGACATTTACGAACATTTAAAAAAGAATTGTACAAGGTATCATTCAAAATTCTAATTTTGAAGAACGTATTTTTTTAAGTAGGAGATGGCCATATATATATATATATATATAAATGTTTGCAATTTTCGAAAATGCAGACATTTTAATACATATCAGACGTTCGCGAAATTTATGAGAGTTCTTTCTTCAATTCGAGTAGAAAAGATTAAAAAAATTTGCGCCATTGTGAGAAAATACTGAAAATGTCCTTGGTGCTTCTTGAAATTAATAACCAGAAATTAAAAAATAACTCGGTTTCAAATTCGGGGGACCTCGCGGTCGGTCGTGGAATATTTATTTAGGGGAAATCATCCTCCTGTTTAGGCGCTAATGATCTTCACAGACTGGCAGACTGTCAATAGGAAACAACACTTTTTTGGGTAAAGGGACCCCCCAAAACGGGTCTTCTTCTTCTTCTTCTTCTTCTTCTTCTTCTTCTTCTTCTTCTTCTTCTTCTTCTTCTTCTTCAGAATTACATAACTATTGTGTTCTACGTACATACTCTTTAAATACAAGTATATGAGATAGAAATTATATCTGAGATGTTAGTCTTTTGAGACTTCTCTGAAATCTATATTTTCGATGGCACCATTGTCCATTTTAAAATCACGAGCACCTCTTTCCAAATTATCTTATAAAGGATCATGATACGATAGCAAAAGACCCTCAAAGAGAGATGGTCAGAACAAAATTTCAGTCCTGTGAAGAAAGAACTCCGCAGTAGATTGTTGCAAAGATTAAAAAAATACTAATTACCGTAATGTTAAATTTAGTCTAGACATCCCTCTATAAAAAGACAGTCTTTGAAGAGCTGATAAACATTTTTTTAAAATGTTGAGCATGTTTAAACGAGATTAAGTTATTTAGAACAAAATTTCAAGCATATTTTTATTACATGATTTTGAACACCGGAAAGACGGAAGAGTAACGAATTTCGAGTGTTTTGCGTCTGCCTACGGTATCGGGTCTGAGCCCCAATGAGGCCGCGAGCCGCAACGCCGAAGATATGCCACGCTACTGTAATTAATATTTATTGACACTATACTAAATAGTTCTTTCATTTTTGGTGAAAAAAAACACAGGTAAGTTTAAGAAACTTAATATTTTTAAAAGAATTTTGTAAGCGTGGAGTTGATTGTGATAGCTGACATTTTTTATAATACACAGTACACTTGCTTTCAATGAAGTGTTTTCTGTGATAATTTAAATCCATTGAAATTGTGGCAAATTATTCCCAAGAATTTTTTTGATGATTTAATTAAGATATTTTTGATGTTAACAATTTAAAATAAATCTTTGTACTAGTGATATAACTGTGCTTTGATTCAACTTCAATATGTGTTTGTTTCATTGAGAGGTAAAATAGTTGGCGAATTCGTTTCATATAGTTACAGAGTGACATGAATGGATGATTATTTTAACAATTCAACTTTATTGGGTAATAGAACATATGATCCAAAATTAATTCTCATAAAAAGGCCAATTTGTGAACAGTTAATGAAAAGCATTGAAACCATTGCTTGGCCTATTTTGTAATGCACCAAGCGGTGCAGGCAAAACAGTCCCTAATTATTAATTTTGTCGGAAATTAGAAAAGAAACGAAGGTTGCACGCGTTCTCGCATCATCAGGTATAGCGGCGACTTTGTTGCTAGGTGGTAAAATCGCACGCTCACTGTTGAAAGTATCAATAGCTACTGTTTGTGGTATTTCTGATAACAGTTATGTGTACAATGGCCCAGAATATTTCTGTTGAAACTGTTGATCGAATTTTGCAAAATTTAAGAGACTATAGTAGACTTCGGTGGTATTACATTTTCCGGTATATTTTAGAAACGGTATATTTTATTGTTTATAGACGGATGTAAAATAATAACATACACAAGCCAGCGAAGTTTACATTGTTACAAGTGTAACTAAAACGAGGCAGACCACTACCCAGTAGTAAGAAGCAGCTAAAATCGGAACACCCTTCATATTACTCAACAATTTGAAGTAACCCAACGTTTTTGTTAGAATCCGTTTGAGTCTCTGCATCACAACGAAATACTCGTATATTAAGTGAAGATGTTATTCTTAGCGGATGCACAAAAGGAGAAAAGGTTTTCGTACAAAGTATTCCAATAATACCCATAAACTACTCGTTTCAGTTCAAGTGATAAGTTTGCCGTTAATTTGTGTTTTTCGGTGTTCAACAATAAAAGAAAAGGGCAGACTTTTTAAAAGTAGGCTTAGCTTTATGTAAAAGTCATGCACAGGTTTATGTAGCATGCTTTCGAGTGAATGATTCCACAAAAGTATTGGCCTTTCCTCCTGAACGTGAAAACGAGAGAGTAGAGTATAAAAAAGCGTTACTGTAGATTTCGGTTCAATATTAATTTAAAAAATGTCAGATAATTAAATATTGTCACACTTTATTTCTACTCCTTTTTTAATTAACTTGTCTAAATATATCCAAGACTCCACGCAAACTAAGTACAACTAGTTCATATTAAAATGAAAATATAATTAGCACTGAAACATTCCTCGTGCATGGAATATTGCTCAAGAAAACATTGTTTCAAGTTAGAATATTTTTTTGTTTGCTATTGTAATACATTACCTTGTTTGACGGACTATTTATTTGAAAGCTCCGATACTTATTTCGAGAGGTAAACTTCAACTTTCGGCTTAATTTGTGGAAAAAACAACTATTATTTCTATATCGAAATTACATACGTTTCAAGTATTGTGTATGTATTACATTGTTTTGTAGATGTAATACGCCATCCAATCGTTCTGCGTTAATTCTCGCAGAATGTGTTGAAATTAATGCTTCTGTTTCATTTTGGTTTTATACTGCAGTGAGACTCATTAACATAAATGGACCTAGTGGGTTTTGTAGAGGGGAATCCATGTGTTCGGATTGAGATTATTTCATGTTTAAAATGATATCCGCGTAAGACCTGAACATAGAGCATGTTGATGATGGTGCACCTTCACGACCGTTAACATGAGGTCCTATAGGGCTACTGGAAGCCGTTTCATATTTTATTTGTACGTTCGTATCAATAAGATAAAACAAAGTTTAAAAAGATACCAAATAATACTTTTACATTTTACTTCAAAAAAATCTTGCAAACAACTATTGTAACTATTCTGTTTTGAACAAGTATAAAGGAGTTACAAAATATTAAAATGCAATTATAGTAGTCTTAGGGAACATTTTCCAAGGGTTTCTATAGAACATTACCATTCCATGTGCGTATGAGAAATACCTACACGTTGATTGAGATCTGGGAAAGTAAAATGTTAGTTATGGACAGTTACGGAAAACATACAATATGTATCGAAGGACTAAGGAATACTTAAATGATAATTAAGTTCGAAAGAGTAAATAAAACATTGATAAAACGTTGTAAAGCTGGAATTGTATAACTGGGACTGGTAACTGAAATAGTTTCGTTACGTTTCGGCGGAAGTAGATAATTAACTCAAGTAATATTTTTTGACTTTATTTGTATGTCTTTTACTTTCCCTGTGACTTGTAATTCTGCATTTCGCGAAACTGCTTCTTTCTCGTTTGGACGAGCCACTGCGCGGCCTTCTCGAGTGCTTGTCTAAATCATTGTTGCTCCTCAACGTGAAGAGCTGAGAGGGCGTCTTGAGAACTGTGCGGTCGCTGCGCTTGGGGCTCCCAGGCGACGGGCCTTCGATTCTGCGGGATGAGGCCGCACGACGCCCCCTGCTCGGACTGCGCGCCAATGCAACCAACCGCTCTCCGTCTGAGCCCTTCTCTGACAAAACATTCCGACCCTCATATTCAAATCTCGCCTGTGTTAGACATGTCTCTCAAGATATTTCTATAACTGCATTATTGGGTGTGGGTTGTTTTTGTGTACTCTGACCTTCAATAAATCACCCCAAAATATCACAGGACGGTAAATTAGATCTCACTGGCCACAGAGCACGTTTAATTATTATATCATGGTATTACCTTTTCTTTCTTTTCTATATTTGACAAAAATGAGACACAAAAAATCTGTTTCAAAGCGAATCTCTGCCAGCAGGATACTGTATTTCCAGGTGGGACATCGAATTTAAGTTCCCTCTTAACTCTGGGGACGGATGGAAGAGAAAGCGTCTTTTTCGTTGTTAAAAGCACGAAAGAAAGCAAATCGCACGTAACGGCCCGCTCCGCCGGGGCAGGGCAACGCGCGGCCGGGCGGTTGACGGCTTGATCGCCCGGGAGGGCACCGGCCGAACTCCGCCCAGTTGTTCAGTAGACACACAGTGCCTCCTCATGCAATTTTAACTCTCTCGAGGAATATATGATCAGGAGCAAAAGGCATGCTGTCGAGAGTGCTGGATATGTAACACTGCACTAAAGGGATGCATTTCTGTAGAATTCTTGGCATTCTTGTAAACAGATAAATATTCATATTTGTACTCCGAATTTGTAACTATCATACTACGGTACATTATGTTAGACTTAATCTTATTTTTACATTTATGGACCAAGCTCTAGAAAAGGAAAAAATTGTATTTTTAATATTTGTGCACAGTTACCTGTGCAACTAGAAAACTATTTCTACTTCATACGTATTGTAATCTAATTTTGGAATTTTTGTTTTCAGCAACAAATGTCTGATAACATGGATAAGTGCTGCTCCATGTCAGATAATTCTATGACTGTTAAAAGTAAATTAGGTAAGTAAAACGCCTACGAATAATTAATTGATTTCGTTGTAATTTGTTGGAATGGGATCGCATTATCGTCATGAGTTCGAATGTGAGTCTTTGAGGAAAGAGGAGATTTTAAACCCCACCAAATGTCAGATACAGTCCTTTCAAGATTTTAATGTAAATTGTTAAATGTGTGACTCCGGATGCCTGCTGTTTGTGGGATGAGATTTAAGACTGGCAGTTGTAAATTATTAACTTAAAATGGGTAGTAAATAGCATCTAACGTGACTTAAAGTACATGTAATTGTAAAATGGAATAAGTTGTGGAATGTTCCGAGGCAATAACAATTTTTTTCTAACATTTTCGCTAGGGATAGGTCAAACGCAACCCTTCGTACTCGGAAGTCGCAAGGGCTGCCTACTACATCTAGTTGAATGCACTGATACGAACGATAAATTGCAAAATATGAAATATTTTCGCAAATTTTATCTACATCTGAAATACTCTTGCTTATGACGGTGTATATCGTCAAAATGCACAGTTTGGTATTATTTTCTGAATGAAATTTGTTCTTATAAATAGGGCGTTTAAATGTCATGTACAATTTCTGGAAAATATGAGTATTTTTTGCGTAATTTTGAGTAAAATTTCGCCACAATTAAAATAATAAGTGAATAAGATTATCTTGAGAACGACTTTAAATTTGCTGTTCAGTGTTTTGGTCGAACTGACGAAAGTTCGCTTAATAGTATTACATAGATTAGATAGTATGACGTAGATTTTCATTTAAACATGAAATTTTGAAAATTACAAAAGTTGATGTTTCTTTTTCACTTGAGAGGAGCGTTAAACGTGATAAGCGTGTGATGGTGTATTAGCTAAGACGACTGCGCGCGGTGTCTATGCGCTTATGTTCGAATCCCAGCCCTGGCAAATATTTTTTTGCAGGTTCAGTTAGTATTATAGTATTACGTAACCGTTACAAATAATACGAAAAAGTATGTGATGTTGTATAAGCTGAGTTGGAAAGCAATATGTGCAGAAGCAATTAGAGAAAATATATATGATCAACATAAACATGCTGTAAAGAAATGCTATGAAGAAATAGCCAGATAGAACTCAGGCAGGTCTGTCAGAGCGTTTCAAAACTAAGAAGGGATAACGAGTTTTTGTTTATCCCTAGCACTTTCAAGTGTGCATTACTCGGGCCGTGAGAAAGAAAACATGCAGTAAGATGGGAATTCAAAATTAAAGCAAGCATTTACACTATAGTATTTTCAGATGATGTTCTTGCAGAAAACGATGCTTCCTGTATGATGAAAGAAATATATATAAAATTTGAAAAATGGTGATTGAAAATAAAGGGTAGTTCGTATTTAGTTGTTTTACTTACACACGCATAAGACCGTAACGAAGTGAAAATTATATGGAAGGAATTTATTCCTGACACCAGTGAATCTAAATTTTCTTTGAAACTTTTAACTTACTTTCTTTGAAAATATTCCCTCTTGCATTTATGCGTTATGTAAAACAAAGCGTAAACCCGAAAGGAGTAGATTTTTTTCTGAATTCATCAAACTCTTAACGGCACCGGAACAATCCCCAAAAGATTCAGACATCCTCGGCGTCGTGGCCGATCCAATTTTGTAAAAGCAGCAAAAACGTTACCGACCTCCAGAATGGTGACCCCGGCACAGCTCCTCGCCCGTGGCGCCTTACTTTTGGGGCGTCAGCCAGCGACCCGGCGGAAGATGGTGGCTGGCGGCAGACCTTAGAGCGTGGTCCGCGCTGAAGGGCGCCAGTGGTGTAGCGCGCGGACCTGGCCTCCTCGGCTGATATCCCGGTTCACACCCCCTGTATGGGTATGCGAGTGCACGGAAAACGCTCTCCGGCACGGCTAACGTGCTGGCTGCTCCACTCAGTTTCGCCTCTTATCGCCGTTCTACTCCCGGCCTCCTCACTTCGCGCCGCTCGGACTCTTCACCCCACCCCCTTTGCTAATTGCCTCGTTATCGCTCCTGGCCCAGGGGTTGCCACGCCTGGGCGTCACAGCTTCGTAACGAGGGGCAGGAGGGAGCATCTGAGTCGATTCTGATCTGGCTCATAATGGCCACACTATATTGACCAGTTCTTATAAACATGTTTAATATGGTGTGCCCAAAACATAATTGAAGAAAACACAAATACTTTACTCAATATTTTGAAAACATTAACAAATTGTAAATCATTGTAATCCTCTTTTTGTTATTTTTTCAATGCATGTAAAAGGAAACTATATAGTTTCATTTAAAAATTAAAAATTATTAAATTTATCCAAAAACAAAAATATAACGAGCAATATATCTACAGCGTGTAACTTTAGATTTCGCGAACCGTTCACAAGCTATTGTCGGTTGTCAATAGTTTATGGGATACCATGAATTTACATTTTCAACAATACCAACATAGCTTTTATGGAAATTACCATTCTCACTTTTCTAAATCGTGTTCAAATTTATTATAAACGAAGTATCGTTATATAACTTCACGCGGAAGTATTGTGTGGCTGTCTTAACCCGCTGTTGGCAATGGGTGGGGGCGAGGATAACCGTGGAGGTGTGATGCCTCACATCAATGAGAAACCAGTATGGAGTTTCAAATTTAATTTAAATCAGAGGACTTATTTGTAAACTTTAGAATGTGAGTTACTTTAGAGAATATCAAACTTTTCGGGTAAAACGTAGTTTAATTTCATATGTGAGTAGCTAGCTTATTTTGCTTTGAAACATGGTCATAACTGTGAAACAAGGCTTTCGTGGTTTACTAGTACTGTCGATTTTTGTTCTACTGAAAGTACAACTGTGTACGCTGGGTTTCTAATTTAGGGTATTATAATAGCAAAATATACCAGCTAAATCCCCATAATTCTATGACGAATTTCTCTGCTGTTTTATCTTCTGCCGCTCGGATACGCATAAAAGGAGCTTTTTGATTTTCGTAAGCTTTGTGAATTCCGTCCTAGCGCGAAAAAAACAAACTAGTGGTGCTATAGCAGCGATGCTTTCTCGCTTTATTTGTAATGGCTTCGCAGTATTATAATTCTAAATAAACCTGCAAAAGTGTTTCCAACCAACAAACGTTTCCCACGCGAGGATTCGAACCTAGTTCTGAGATTTAGCGCGCCACTCACGGCCACTAGCGCCCACACCATCAAACTTATAGGAAACCACAACCTTTCCGACGTAATGAAAACAACCTTGAACATGTGCATTTGCAATATCCAAAACATATTTTCACTGACATTATTTTAAGATTAGTTTTAAATAACAAAATTCATTAAATTTCTATCTTCATTATTTTAGTTGAAGGATGATGCCAAAAAAATAAATTTCGCCATTTTCGAAAATATAGAAACCTTATAAATATTGGACCTGCGCCATTTTTATTTGCGTACTTTGCTCTATTCTAGGAAAAAAATAAAGAAAAACTTTGGAGGCTGTTTTGAAAAAAATATCTTACAAATTTGTCTTTACTACAATTAAAACTTACACGAAAACTACTCGTGCACATTGATTAGTCGAAAACAACGAGTTGCGTCGACAGCTCGAGCTGGACGGTGTATCTCAATAAAGTGATTTTATCTTTGGCGAAATTAACTTAAATGCTTACTGATTAGACTGGTCATAAGCTTCTGGACAATATGGAACAACATGAATTGTTGATGAACTGTTGTGTAGTAATGAAGCAAAATGACAAAAATATTCGTTTACATCATTATGCAGAATACCCTGACGTGTTTTTCTATCTTAAATGATTTTTCTTTACAATTACATAGATATTGCCCAAGGGGATAGTTTTGAACATTATTTGTAATAAACATTATAAAGATTGAATGTGAAAATAAGATTTTAAAGCACATTTTTTAGGATATTTATAATTTTTCGCATTTTCTTTCTTCGAATCAACTCCTCTCTCCTCTTTAAAATGTCTGGACCTGTTCGGGATGTTCTTGAAAATGTATGTTAGTGAAAATAAGTTGCTGACTTTCATGAAAGTGACACATTTTATTCTAATATTTCTTATATTTCATAAGAATCTGTCTATTGTTTCCTAGGCTGTTCATCATTTTGCTGACAAAATACCCCGTTTTTGTTTCAGTATTAACTCGTTGTCGACGCTATAAGCAAAAAGTTATTGGTGTACGGCCTGGTGCTAGATTGGCAGCTTTAAAAGCTGCATTGGCTGCTCGACGAAAAAAATTAGTGAAGATTCCAAACAATTCAGTCCATAATGATATTCAGGGTAAGTATGATGCATATGCTTTCTTTTGTATTTTTCTTTGGGGTGGACTTTGTAGGACTGTGTTCTCATCTCTCAGGGAAAACCAATGTTTTGTGGCATTAGTTTGAAGTAACTACAATTAGAATAATAAATATATTAACAAGTAAAATGATAGTTTCTTGCTACTGAATTACAGAAATTATCTTGTCGTATGTACATTATTAAAGTTATTTTGTATTAAAATGTTATACTACTGAATTTTTGATTTTTGTTGCATAATTTTTACTTTCGTATAAGGAATATGAAGAAAGTTATGCGAAAAATCTTTGGAGTTTTTACTGAAATATGTTCGTACGCCCGTGGTCTCGAATTTTTTTTCTTTTGTCGAAAACATCGTTACGTATTCGTTCGTATGTTAACAAACGTTAAGTACATAAGTTTCAATATAATTACAGTAATCCCTCAACATCGTTAGGTCCTCTCAAAACATCGCGAATGTTGAATCTACATTTTAACGAAGAAAGACGGGTTAGGTTCCTGGATATCGAAAAAATGTTTAAAAAGCAAAGAAAAAATCTTACAATGAATTGCAGTAGAACCGAGTAAGCACTACAACAAAAAAAACAATTAATAATCCGAAGAGAAGACATAAAACAATATTTGATTGTCATTTCAAAGTTGAGATTGTACATAGTATTTAGTTATTTTTGTTTGTTTCATCCACCTCCTCGTTGCCTTAATCTCTAAATATGGAAGAGTTACTGTATCTATTTCTCTTTTAAATTTCAAAGTAATTTCCAAGTTCTGGTCGCATTTGAGTGCCCTTTCCACAAGTTCTAGAACTTCATTACCAGTTTCGACATTAAAGTTATTCTAGAACACAGTTTCGCTTCTGTTACTTCATTACCACGTTGGAGGTAGTTTTCTTCACATGATTTTCCAAAGCTCCTCTCCAGTGAGTGACGAGTTGCACAGATCCTGAACGGATTTTCTGTTCATGTCATCAAAGCCCTTACCTCCAATTTGGCTCATCTGAATTGAATTACTTTACATTATGTAAATATTCTATTAATCTGAAATGATATTCCAACTTGACATAATGTTTCGAGTCGTATTCCTTTATGACGCTTTTGAAGAAATTGAAATCCGCTTTTTTGTTTTTTCAAGAAAAATATAGTGCGAACAAATGCCGCACTAGCGAATGTTGATGTCGCGAATGTGAAATCCGCTAGCATTTCTGTAATCGCGAGTAGTGAATTCGCGGATGTTGTGGGTTTACTTTATTATTATTATTATTATTATTATTATTATTATTATTATTATTATTATTATTACTATTATTATTACTACTACTACTATTATTATATTTTTACTTCACCAATTACAGATTGTTATGAGAAAGTCTGAGCTTTTTTTTATAAAATCACTAGTCTCTAAATTATATTATTCTGTTTGAGATTACAAAATCTCAGTTAACTACATTTATTTGTACGTATTGTAGTTATGTTATGAAAACATCAAAGCAATTTGTTATTTGAATAGAGCAATATTGGATCGACTCTTATTGATTTGAACTACATAAGAAAAATAGAGGAAAATAAATGTTATTCATACACCCACCCACACAGAGGATAAGGTTATGCAGTATTAGGGAGCCCGAACGTATGCTCATTTGATTACAATAAGGCATAAAGGGGGTCTTATTTCCTTACGGTAGTAGATAGCCAACTATATTTGTATATGAGCCATCTCACTGAATTCAGTTCCTTCAAAAAGATGGCCTACGTATTGCTTTATTCAATTTTTTGACATTCCAAATTATATCATATTCGACCTAAGATCCTGCCCAAGATTAAATATGAGAGTGGGACTGATCGTAATTGTCTCTAGTACACAAGGCAAACAAAATATTAGAAAGCAATACGGCTCATTGGAGACCTAATTTAATTTCTGCACTCTCTTTCTGCAATCCCTATGTAGTGCTCGGGTGGAAGAGTTTCATTTATTTTATTTATTTTTGCCAAAAAGAAAAAAATCAGTAAAACTATGTCACGTATGGAAGAGAAGTATTAATCGGGCACATTTTATTGAACTCCTGAGTCTGCTCCGTACCTTTTTACTATACATAGTTGAACGGTGATTTAAATTATCATCAAACCGAGATTGGCATTTTAAAGTTGGAAATGTTTCGCTACCGGATTAAAGAAAACCTATATCAAAATCAGTTGTTTCCGGGCTTGAAGGCCGTGGTCCAATGGAGACTTGTCCATACGTTTCG